AATGTTGTAGGCCAAAAGTGCACAATCTCTAATCTAATGATAGGATCGACCTCCAATTTAACATTTGTAGTAAGCAAGTCATGAAAAAAGTTCTCTATCCATGCTTTGCCTAAATTTAGCAAATCATAAAAGTAGTATCATTAGCAGTTTTCCACTGCTCACTGCTATAGTTACAAAGCAGTAACTTGTACCAAAGAAGAATTATCATTAAAAGCTGTACTTTCTGTTCTTCTCTTACTAGAAGCTTCAGGAAAGATGTCCTGCCGTCAATTACCAAAGTAGCGAAAAGACAAGTTTCATGAACATGGCTGATCGCCTAAAACCCTTCTTCACTAACTTAGCAACACTTTTTTTCGATAATTCTGCTCCAAATTCCAGCTATTCTACTCTCAACCAATTTAGTCCCAATCTTACCTCAACGTAACTAGTCTTTTCCTTCAATGGTGGATGTGTGGTTGAAGTCGGTGATGTTGGTTTATAATCGGATTCTTCCTTTTCCTTTGATGGTGTTTCTTCCCTTCTTTCCGCGTCTCCCAGAATATTCAGCTCTTTATGGAGTCGCTCGCGTTCTTTCGCACGTTCTCGTTTCAATGTACTCAATGTGCCTGTCGTGCGAGTTAGCGTGTTTTGCTGAGAAGTGGACGATTCGTCGGGTACTGACGGTGGTGGTCCAAGCTGGAAGGTATATTTTAAGACTAGGCATTTTGAAAATGTGCATTTCCACCCGAACAACTTTTCAACTTGAAACTTCTACTGAAGAAGACCTTCAACTTTTTAAAAGTATCAACGAAATCGCCCACTGCCCCGAAACCCTTTGCAGTAGGAATGCGGTAGGATTACGGTAGGCGACTTAAATTGCAATACTGCAGTTTCTTGAGAGTTTGGAACACCAATTTTAATTAATTGCTAATTTCTGAATGTAAAGTCACGACACAAATATATGTAGCCATTTTCAGACCATTTCTTCTGAAATTATTCATGGAAATATAATCTTACGGTACTCCAATGGTGAGGGAGCATTGGTGCATTCTCAAGTTTACTTTACTAAGTGAAGGGACAGTGAAGATAAACGCAATTTACCATTTTCGTCAAAATTGCAACCCAAAAACACCCTTTTAAACTTTCCATCGCCCTTTCAAAATCCATACGATCCACCAATTGTTGCATAATGTGTAAAATTTCATAACTTGCGCGTTCTTCCACATGCAATGGAAAATAGGCCAAGAATTCTGGCAACATAGCGAGATTTGTGGATGAGAGTGTATGATATATAGGGAGACGGTAGACACAGCTGATATAGTGATCTTGACCTCATTTTCCTTCTTATCACCGCCACATCAATAACAATACGCGCGGATACATGCATATACAATTCTCGTCATGGAAAGTGTTCACAACAGAGTAATCGAAACTGTGGGAGAAACCGATAGATTGAAAGGAATACAAGTTACGGTAGCTGTAGCACATTTAAAGAAGCAAACGATATTGAAAAAAAAAACACAAAATCTGAAAGTTATTTCTATAGATTATACTTCAAAGGGCTTTAATAGAAAAGTAGAGGGCAGTATAATTGATAACTTGAAACCATATTTTATATGGAACAGTATAAGAATAAAAACTTTGCTTTTTAGAGGCATCAGATAAAGTGAGTGATGAGACTCGAACTTAAAGATAATCAGAT